AACCGTGGCTCATGGCAAAACTCAAGCAGCTGTGGCGGCTGCATTTGAGGACAGTCTCCTCCACACTTATAGACTTATAGATGTTGCATTGTAGGCTCGGATTCCTGCCAGGATCAAAGGGAGTGGACACCTTGGTCCACGCGGCCAAACCGACATCACTTCAAGATGAATTTGTATGTTACGCCTATCGCAAAGGTGCTGCAATCGTTTGAATTTCCCTCCACGTGCATAAACGTGTTGAAATTCCAAAGTCCTTGCAATCTAGGTCTCATATCTGAAAGAAAAATAACTTGAAGTGTAAGACAATGACAACTTTTTCCTGGGCCTGGGCCTTTTCCGATGATATTGTACTGTGCAAGCAGCTCTCCCATGCGCAGTACTGAAACTAGCATGCTTCTGATTCAAAGAACTGCATGGCCGTTTCCTGGGTCCTTGTACTGAGTAACACCTCTCCGCTGCTTGAAGTTTCAATTCAAGAAACTGTTTGGTGTTCGAACCGCAGATCATGCAACATTGAGCTTTGTATGCTGCAGCCGAACGCATGTTTGTCAGTGATGGGCACAAACAGCCACATTGAGGCCATACCCACACTTGCAAGAGATCTCACGCATCTCGCATCGTACCCTTGCATTTGTCCATGATCTTTTTCCAAACAAAAGGCAGCAAAAGTATACGGAAGCACACGAAAACACCAAATCCGATTAAGGCTTCAACTGCGATGCGTCATTGCACCGCGTTCAATGATTAATTGCTTGTGGCTGTGCCGCATTGTGAAACGAAGGTACTGTGAAAGAGAACCAACAAGCACTGGCTGATGAGCTCTCTCCTGCCAATGCCATTGTTCTCATGCGCGGCATTACCCCACTGCGAGTGACAACAGCGGCACATTCAATGTCCAGCTTCGCGCTCGATGACATGGTGCTTGAACGTGTTGTCATGCCTTGTCAATTCGTTCAGTAAGCTCTTGTTAATTCGTCGTGTCCCAAGCTGAAAGACTTTTTCCACCCTGCTTGCTCAGGCTATCTTGATCTCCCAACCCATATGCACAGATCCTACACAAGCCATGCACAGAGCATATCTTTTGGATACTGCACCTTTCCCGAATTTTTCGACGGGTGACATGCATGGGTGTGAGACCTATGTCACCTATGTGAATCGAAGATACCTGTGCTTGAAAAAGGTCACCGTGATCAGTGTAGCGCTTGATGTCAAGCACCACATTTTAGAAGGCCCAAACCACCACCTTATGTAAAACAAACATTGATGGAGCAGATGCGTGGAGATCAGATAGGCCTTCGTTCTTTGACATTCTGGAGGCATTTTGCTCATGGGTATATGTGTGTGTGTGTGCGCGCGATGGAAGTTCCAGCTAGGAAAGGTGCTTACTGGCCACTGAGCTTCAACAAAAAGAAGCTGATGTCCTAAGTCATACACGATGTCACACTGTCGCCCAAGCTGCGTGGTGTCTTGTAGTCAACATTATTTGACCTCAACATTTCTCTTGCTGGCCGTGCATTATTGTTGTCACAGTTCCGACGGATTGGAAACGTTGAATCTCTCGCAACAGCTGATAACAGCTCCACTTCGGCAGGTCACAGCATGGCTTGTTTCATTATGAACCTAGAGAGAGCTGAGAAACACACTTCTCCCCTGCTCTTGGGGCCTGCATCAACGCTTTCGAGGGAATTGCAGCGGTATACCATGGACAGGGATTGATTAGAGAGCTGTGGCTCGGAGTCTCGTGATTCTTTCGACCACACCGTTTTGC